TGCTTCCTACACACACCGTAACATTACAACCCGACCAAGAAATGGGCCCAGCAGATCCGTTCGAGCTGGAATTATTGAATTTTTCCTTTTTTCTGGCTAACTGCTCGGATCGATGGAAGAGAGCACCCGGAGTTCAGCAGCGAGAGGCGGTGTTATCAGAGGCGCGCCAGATGGCTAGAGAGAAACCAGGTTTGGTGAAATTCTTACCTGGCTGGATTTCAAAGATCCTCCCGGTGTGTGATTCCCGGCCTGCTAGCCCCAGGCATGCTAGCTCCCTGGCTCCCAATTCCCAACCTGGCACCATACGCCTTGGTGGGTTCCGCCTACACTCAACCCGTGCTTCTGCTCCAGTTCCTGCTCCTGTCCAGGAGTTGTATTCCGGAACTCGTCTGGCTTATGGAGGTCCACGGAGTATTCAGGCGGCTGCTAAGAGGAGTCGTCGCAAGGCCAGGCTAGCAGCCGGAGCGGCCACAATTCCGGCTCCAGAACCGGACCTTACAGTCATGTTTCCGGCTCCAGAACCGGACCTTACAGACATGTTTCCGGCTCCAGAACCGGACCTTACAGCCATTTTTCCGGCTCCTGAACCGGACCTTACAGCCATGATCCTGGCTTCAGTACCGGCCCCAGTAGCCATGGTCCCGACTCCAGTTTCGGCTCCAGGACTGGCGTACCGGCCAACGCCAGCTCCCCGAGGCCTGTCGGTGTACCGGCCGACTCCAGCACCTCGTCTCCTGCTGGCTCCCCAGCCGACGCCAGCTCCCCGTGTCCTGTCGGCGTACCGACCGACACAAGTTCCTTCTCAAGACCCTTCTCAAGTCCCCTCTCAAGTCCCCTCTCGACTTCCCTCTCAAATTCCTTTTCAAGTCCCCTCTCAAGTCTCCTCTCCAGTTCCCTCTCGAGTTGCCTCTCGAGCTACCTCTCGAGTCACCTCTCAAGTCACCCTTCAAGTCACCTCTCGAGTTCCCTCTCAGGTCCCCTCTCGATTCTCTTCTCAAGTTCCCTCTCAAGTCCCCTCTCAAGTCCCCTCTCAGGTCCCATCTCGAGTCTCTTCTCAAGTCCCCTCTCAGGTCCCATCTCGAGTCCTCTCTCGAGTCCCCTCTCGAGTTCCCTCTCGAGTTCCCTCTCGAGTCTCCTCTCGAGTTCCCTCTCAGGTCCCATCTCGAGTCTCTTCTCGAGTTCCCTCTCAAGTCATCTCTCGAGTCCCCGCTCTAGTCCCCGCTCAAGTCACCTCTCGAGTCTCCTCTCGAGTTCCCTCTCGAGATTCCTCTCAAGTCACCTCTCCAGTCAACTCTCAAGTTTCCTCTCGAGTCCCATCTCAAGTCACCTCTCGAGTCACCTCTCGAGTTCCCTCTCGAGTTCCCTCTCGAGTCACCTCTCGAGTCCCCTCTCCAGTTTCTTCTCAAGTCCCCTCTCCAGTTCCCTCCCGAGTCCCCTCACCAGTTTCCTCTCAAGTTCCTTCTCAAGTCCCCTCTCCAGTTTCCTCTCAAGTTCCTTCTCGAGTCCCCTCTTGAGTCACCTCTCGAGTTCCATCTCTAGTCTCTTCTCGAGTCACCTCTCGAGTTCCATCTCTAGTCCCTCCTCTAGTCACTTCTCTAGTCCCCTCTCTGGTCCCTTCCCGAGTCCCTCCTCTAGTCCCTACTCAAGTCCCTCCTCTAGTCAATTCTCTAGTCCCTCCTCTAGTCCCCTCTCCAGTCCCCTCTCCAGTCCCCTCTCAAGTCCCTCCTCTAGTCCCTCCTCTAGTCCCTCCTTTAGTCCCTCCTCTAGTCCCTCTTCGAGTCCCCTCTCTAGTTCCCCTCTCGAGTCCCCTCTCGAGTTCCCTTCTCTAGTCCTTTCCCTAGTCCCTCCTCAGGTCACTTCTCTAGTCCCATCTCCAGTTCCCTCTCGAGTTCCCTCTCGAGTTCCCTCTCGAGTCCCCTCTCCAGTTCCTTCTCGAGTCCCCTCTCCAGTTCCCTCTCGAGTTCCCTCCTCTAGTCCCTCCTCTAGTCCCTCCTTTAGTCCCCTCGCTAGTCCCTCCTCTAGTCCTCTCTCTAGTCCCTCTTCGAGTCCCCTCTCTAGTTCCCCTCGCGAGTTCCCTTCTCTAGTTCCTCCTCTAGTCCCTCCTCTAGTCTCTCCTCTAGTCCCCTCTCTAGTTCCCCTCTCGAGTCTCCTCTCGAGTCCCCTCTCGAGTCACGTCTCAAGTCCCTACCCAATGTCCTGGTCCGTTGGAGGTTCCGCTGGGGGTCCTGCCAACTCCATGTTCTGTCCCGTTGGAGGTCCCGTCGACTACTCCTCTGCCGGGGGTCCTACCAATCGTATGTCTGTCCCGTTGGAGGTCCCGCCGTCTACTCTCCTGCCGGGGGTCCTGCCAGCTCCTTGTCCTGTCACGTTGGAGGTCCCGCCGACTACTCTCCTGCCGGGGGTCCTGCCAACCCTTTGTCCTGTCCCGTTGGAGGTCTCGCCGTCTACTCTCCTGCCGGGGGTCCTGCCAGCTCCTTGTCCTGTCTCGTTGGAGGTCCCACCGACTACTCTCCTGCCGGGGGTCCTGCCAACCCTTTGTCCTGTGCTGTTGGAGGCCCCGCCGACTACTCTCCTGCCGGGGGTCCTGCCAACCCTTTGTCCTGTCTCGTTGGAGGTCCCGCCGTCTACTCTCCTGCCGGGGGTCCTGCCAGCTCCTTGTCCTGTCTCGTTGGAGGTCCCACCGATTACTCTCCTGCCTGGGGTCCTGCCAACCCTTTGTCCGGTGCTGTTGGAGGTCCCGCCGACTACTCTCCTGCCGGGGGTCCTGCCAACCCTTTGTCCTGTCTCGTTGGAGGTCCCGCCGTCTACTCTCCTGCCGGGGGTCCTGCCAATCCTATGTCCTGTGCCGTTGGAGGCCCCGCCGACTGCTCTCCTGCCGGGGATCCTGCAAATCCCGTGTCATGGTCCTCTTCCGTGGGGGATCCTGCCGAGGCCTGTCCCACCAGCTCGGACACCGGGTCCTGCCCGGCCTCCGGCACTGTCCCGTCAGCGCCTCCTGCCTGGCCTCCGGAGCTGTCTGGTCTTCGCCCTCGAGCCTGGCCCCCTGAGAGCCACGGTCTTCACCCTCGAGCCCGGCCCCCTGAGTGCCGCGGTCCTCGCCCTCGGGCCCGGTCCCCTGACTTTTCCTGCCGTTGCCTTCGCCCTCGGGCCCGGCCCCCTGACTCTTCCTGCCGCTGCCTTCGCCCCTCCATGGTCCCCACCTTGGACTCTGTCTTGCCCCCGGGCCGTCCGCCCGAGTCCCCCTTTTTGGACTCTGCCTTGCCCCCGGGCCGTCCGCCCGAGACCCCTTCCTGGTCCTCTGCCTTACCCCCGGGCCGTCCGCCCGACTTCCCCTTTTTGGACTCTGCCTTGCCCCCGGGCCGTCCGCCCGAGACCCCTTCCTGGTCCTTTGCCGTGCCCCTGGGCGGTTCAGTCCCGTCCTCCTGACCCCCTCCACCCACCCTGGTGGCTTAGTGATGTCTGTACGTATATATAGCCTTGAAATAAAGGAACTATTTTTGTCACTTAAATCTGCATTTGGGTCCTGCTTCCTACACACACCGTAACACCCCTCTTCCTAAACCACTAATACCACAGTACTGGCAAAACGGGAGGAGCCGAGTGAAAAACAAGCGCCCCTCATCCCAATCCACCCACACCGCAGTATTTTTTTCTTTTTTTTTTACCCAAAAATATATTGTATATTATCGGGGCTATTAATACTGGTATCGAGTTTATCGGGATGACGTCATAATTCCTAATATCGGACCGATAATTATCGGGCCGATAATTATCGTGCATCCCTAGTATAAATCAATCGATATACTTATCGGATATGCACAAACAAGCTTAGCTAACAAGCTGAGATTCCACAGATTCTAGAAATATAAGTATGATCACTGTGTGACCAGAACTCGCGACAGGGGAAGCAAATACAGACATCACACGACGTAGCTTTAGGTAGCAAAAACGGAGATATGCTCACCTTTTGCTGTTATTCTGATCAAAAACGAGAAACGCGGTTGAAGGTTAATCCATAGGTTAATCCAATGTGTCTGTCACTTTTAAAAAAGTATTGATAATCCATAATTCAATTTTTATGTAAAAAACTGAGTTTTCATTAGCTGCTAATGATAGCTTCCAGAGTGTGCGACAGCTTCCTGTTTTGTCTCCTTGGATACGAGGCCAAACAACTCACAGACTGCACCGGGCGCTGACGCAGGCGCCCTGTGACCATCAGATTTGACAACGCTGATTGGCTGAAATTATGTTTTGGCGGCATAGTTTAAAGATAGCAACAGTTGGCTTCTGCTGCAATCTCGTCTGGGCGCTGTGCATAGCGCCCAGACGAGAGAGGGTAATGATACACGGGCAAGGCCAGGCTGGAAACATCGTAAACATCGTAACACAATTTTAAACGACATTCTATTGTAGATTATACATTTTACTGATACCAATTATATAATATTTACCTTGTTTATTAAAAATTAAAAATTAAAATATATGGGCCGGCCACCACTGGGACCTATCGTGCAAAATGCACTTTGTGATGTCTTTTATACATAAATATGTGTCCCTGGTGCATTGAGGAACTCACGCAGCGTCAGAAAATAAAACCCTCTCTCTTTTCCTCCGTACCCAAATCTTTTAAAAACAGAGGTACAACGAGCGGATACAGATTTGCTGCCGATCTGACAAATCGGCAGCGGACCCACAAGTGTGAATCCTTTTGCGGATCATGAAATACAAGTGTGAATCCTTCTGTGTGCACGTGTGTATTATGAGACTGTTCTGAGCCCATAAGGTATGGCCCTACAATATATTTTTCCAATATAGCATAATAGGTCCACTTTAAGCAGCCATCTTCCTCGACGTCGTCACCGCCCTCTCCGAGTCACATGCTTTTTATGTGTTCACATACTTGGGCTTAAAGCTAATAATAATAATTTTGATTCATGCCAACTGGTTTTCATTAAAAACTGCTCTGGTCTTTGAATTTACCCCATGGGAAAATACATCACCTGTTTTCGGGGGACTTCCTGCTACCATGAACCTGATCATCCCCATCACAGCCAGAGTCATGATGCTGGTAATGCTGAAGATCATGCCCATCAGGCCGTAGTAGAGGCATGATCTGTCACCTCCAATCCAGGCATGGTTAAAACACGAATAAATGGACAGAGGATACATGCTGAGGGCCATGCCGATGTCTGTCAGAGCCAGGTTCACTGTCAGAAGCTCGGGAGATTTGAGTAGGGCGAAGCGACCGACTGCTCTTACCAGAACCACCCCGTTCCCAAAGACTGACAGGACAGCTGCAGTGGAGAATAGGACACAGAAAAATGAAAAGTGTCATTTTAGAACAAACATTTTGATACTTAATCATGCAAGATATGGCCAGAAATGTAGACTTAAACATTCAGACATTTTCATCAGAAGATGAAGAGATACAGCGTTGACATAGATGTCTACATATTATTATTTATCTACTGAAATGAGCATGCTACCCCCTGTCTGTCATTTTTTGTACTACCTCCTGTACCTCTATTGTCGATAGTGAGTCTTCGTAGTGTCTAGTCTGCCCTCAGTCTCACATACGAGTACATACTGTAGAAGTCAAGCTGTCTGATGGATTGTCAATGAAAGGTATAGTCTTTCTACATTTTTCAAAAATCCAAAGCGGCAGAATCGTAAAAGACAATTCACCCCTGTCTGTTCCTTCTTGTCAATCTAACAAACAAACACTACAAATTACAATATAGCTCCTGGTTAGTGTCATAGTCAACACACAGATGTCCAAAGTGAACTATAGACCAATGCCAAACGTGAAGTGTCATTTTATTAATCGGCTGTCAGATTTCATAATTTTGCAAATTCTGTCCCTGCTGTTGTTATTTGGTCTTTTTGTTTTATTTTTCCAACTATAACTGTAAGTTTTTATCGAATTAACCAAGTAGTAGAGTTAACAATTATTAATAATAATTTAATTGAACATACATTAAAAAAAAAAGTCTGTTGTAATTGTACAAATATGGTGTCTTTAAAAGAACACCTTTTTTTTCCACAGGAAGCTAATACGACTATTAACAAACAAGATGAGCTGTGTTAATTTTTAGTGCGGAAGAGACTGATGTATTGGTTAAGCAAACGTTAAGCGTTGAAACAGTCACGTTTCGCCCTTTTCATGTATATTTTCACCATGCTTGAGACCATGAATGTGACATAAACAAGGTTATGAATTTAAAAAAGTATTTTCTATCTGTTTGCCTCATTTCACAATATCTTTCTTGTATGTGGGCCGGGGCTAATAATAGGTGCCTGTGCTTACTACAGAATGTCATCATGAATATATAATGGAACAACAATGTCACCCTTGAAAATGTCACCCTTGAAAAAGAGATCTTTTGATCTCAAGGGGCTTTCACCTGGTTAAATAAAGACTACAAACAAACAAACAAAAACCATCAAAGAATGAATTGGAACCTATCAATTCAAACACTTTGGTTATTCATTCATTATCATCAGGTATTCATAATAAAAAGTGGATGATCTGATTACTTTCTTCAACAAAATGTAGCTATTCTTATCTTCTGAAATATTATGTGACATATTGCAGAATACATGTCTACTCTTTAAGCAAAGTGCTTACAGAGCATTAGAGTCTTAAAATAGAATTTACCATTAATTCAGAATTGCTGCTTGGATAATATGTGTCTCCTAATAATGTCTCCTCCATTAGAAAGATTGGTTGATGTATTCTGGGTTCAGCCTGCTTTATATAACATATTTCCATTACACACGCTTATGACAATTTGATTGACATCATTTTTTTCGATGACATGTTTAATTATAAAGCAGACCTTATAAATTGTGGAAAGGCCTGCAAGGTTGTTGTCCCTGAGTAGTACTAATTGGCTCGACTCCCTGAGCTATCTAGACACAAGTGCTCTGCATTCATTCCTTATTAATGAACTTTCCGTCACCATTACAATAAAACCAGGCATCAGGTCAGGAGTTTGTGGTGCAAAAGATAACATCCTCTCCCTAAAGCCATCATGTGCCGCCTCTACGGAGGCATCATCTAGTGCATTATGACCAGCTGCATTACTATAAGGTTTGGGAGCGGCATCTCCTTCAACCGCAGGATCCTACAGCGCAAAGTAAATGGGGCTGGGGAGATCACTGGTGCCTCACTTCTTTCCTCTTGGACATTTACAATACCAACAAAGCCACTAGCAATTGAGTGTGACCCCATCCATCCCTCACACAGTCTCTAAGTTACTGTACAGAGATACTGGAGCCACCCAGCATGCTCTGCCAGAGCGGGTAAATCCCTTACACATCATCAGGGTGATGAACACTCTCTCCCCTCTGTCTCTAAAAAGGCTTGTTGTCTTACTCTTCATCCCATCAAACGACATAAAACTGGCATTATTATATATATTTGTATCCCTGTTTGTACTATATGTTTTACGTTTTTTATTCTATTATTTTTTAAAACCCCTGTTGTATTTGATTATAATATTTGTGCATAACAACACCGTGGTTGGAGTCATTCTGCATGTTTATGCTCTAAATGCCCCATACACATATGGAATATAAACCATAAACAGCTAATGCAATGATAGTCAGTCTATGCATTGATATTGCATACATGTACATTTTTCTTGATAGATTGGGACTTTTTTCTACAAATAATGATGTCTTGTGAATCTGTAAGCAAGATTTCAACAACATTTCAAATGTCATAGTTAAGGTACACACTGTGCTGTACAATAAATCTGAGTAATTGTTGTAAAACCGTTTAATACACCCTTTGTTCCTTATTTCATGAAAAACTCTGACAATAATCCTTCTCTTATCTCTCTGAGGTTGTCTGCTTTTGGGTCCTCACCTGCTGAACATAACATTGCTGGGCTCTGCATCTCTGCATCTCCTTTTTTGTTATTATTTTTGTCAGTTGCTGTGTTGCTCATCCTGCAACAGCAACAACCAACAATGACTTAAAGATAGCAACTTTGGTATGCTCAGTCTCCTGCAGGGCACTTACGTTCTACTCCAAAACATCTGTTAATCAGTGGCGAGCCGTCAGGGCCCTCTAGGCCCTCTGTGAGGGCCTAAGATATTCTAAAAAATAATATTTGAAAACTTTTTTACATTTTTTTGTTGTTACATTTTTCATTAGTTTTACCAAAATAACTTGATTTAATTGTATTTAAAATAATATTTCCAAATAAATAAATCCTTCGTATCTGCCTGTTCAGTTTCTGTTGGAATGTGAAGGGTTAAATGCCGTCTCTGCGAGTTATGTAAAGACGGGAGGGCTTGTTATGGAGTCAGATTTGGGTCAATATTCTAGCGCGTAAAACAAGCTACTCACGAGCGGAAAATGTGCTTTTACACGCGCATAAAATGACCCTCGCGCGCAGATTAAACCCCCGCGAGCGGCTCTGCGCCCGTGAGACAGCCCTCTTGCTCGCTCGCGGGAGTATCAGCCTCGCGGAGTCTGTCTACGCGCGCGTGAAATGTTTCTGGCACTTTGGGGCGGAGCCACTGGACTTTGATTGACAGCTGCCAGGAAACCCGGAGTTGCCAGGTTTGATAAATGCCTGAACCAAGAGCCGAGGAGTGACGGCAGCAAAATCAGTTGGACGAGATTGAATGGTAAAGTTGTCCATAAAAAACTATTATTTTCGTAAAGTGTACAGCTAATATATATATAAATACATTTTTATATAAAACAATATATTTTTGAGTGGGCTGTATCTGTCGAAAATTGCATATATATATATATATATATATATATATATATATATATATATATAAATTCATTTGATATAAAACAATATATTTTTTAGTGGGCTGTATCTGTCGAAAATTGCATATATATATATATATATATAAATTAATTTGATATAAAACAATATATTTTTGACTCAAACTCAAACTCAAACTCAACGAGAGAGTAATGTCAAATGACAGTACAATTGACCAATCATATCTTCCCTCTAAATGGGCGGGCTTTATTTTCGCGGACTTTATGACAGGTCCCGCCCGCTGTGAGGTCTATGCAAGTGGTGCAGTGACGCGCCCTAAAACCCGGAAGTAAGCTGCGCTCGGATTCCCTCGACAGAAAGCAACGGGATTTCTCCATAGGGTTTTGGAAAATAGCTTGAAATAAGGTCTGTGGAAAACAAACCTGTTAGATAAATGCACGTTTTGTTCAGCCGGATAATATCCACATGTCTACCCTACTTTTATTATTTTCGAATCATAAATCTAATCGATAGATTTATGATCAGAGGGCCTAGGTATAAAAGTCACGGCTCGCCACTGCTGTTAATTATTACTTTGTATTAATGATTGTCTTCTCTAGGAGTCCCCTGATGTCTGCAGGTTTTGTAAAACAAATGTATGTCAACAAACTAAAGCAAAATGCTTCTGCAGAATGATCTAAAAAAAGAGAAACAACTGATTGTTGGGATGCTGTGTTTGCAGAGGTCTCCTTGTGTGGATGCTTGTGGGTCTCTTTATACAAAAATCACTCATTTATTTGCCTTCAACCATTGTTCAATGATGAAATGATAAATAATAGGGTGGATTGTCTCCAAAGGACTGTCTGCTTAAACTCATCTGTTGCTTCAGGCAGGAAATAATCTGTTGCGGTTGTGTGAAACAACACTTAGAGCAAAGAGAACCAATCCATTAGCGATGCACATCAATCACAAACAACCGCTGTTTTCTTATGTGCCTCCAGTTCGGGATCAAGTCTGCTTCTTTAGACAACCCTTAAAGTTGCAAAAATAAGGGACATTTGATCTTTTTAGAGAGATTTGGAAAACAAAACTCACTTCTGGGGTCATTTGGGTGCATTTTCCATATGGCCCCCCTTGGTCGATTTTGATGATTGACACCTCTTTTTACCGTTAGAGCCAATAGAATCGAGGGGACGTTCCTAAAATCCATCTAAACATTCCCCATTGGTGAATGAGTGATGCGTAGCCATGTGCCCAAAACCGGAAGCTGTCATATACTCTCGTAGCTAATATGAAATCTCCGTTACTGACATAAATATGAAGATGGATTATCAGAAATAATTTCAAAGTGACACAGACAGCTTGGATTAACAGTTCTGTTTCATATGGGTGTTGAGAGATGTATCCATAGATCTCTTCATGTTGCTCCAGATTGATGCTTTTAACTTCAATATTTAAAAAAAAATCTTTCCGGGCGAGCATGCCCCCGGACCCACCTAGGAGGCTGGTCCGCCACAAAATAGCACTTTACCCTTTCTATATGCCGTGAACTGATTATC